GCGGGTGCGGATGAGGAGGGAGGAGCAGGTGAGGACGGCCAAGATGGACATGCTCGGGGTGAATGCCGGCGTGGCGGACGGCGGCGTCCTGGGGTCGTCGTCGGCGAGGAAGCAGGCTCAGATCAGGACGGCCAAGGAGATTTTAGGGCTGGGTCGGGGTAGCCGCGCCGGCGAGATGCTCGACGAGAAGAGGACGCCGGGAAAAGGCGGACAGGGCGCTAGCCCCTTCCCCGGCCGTCAAGCATTCCTCGACAAGGTCAGGAAGCTCAAAGGTGACGAATGATAGCTAGCTAGGATTTCCGAGGGGAGTAGGATGAAGAGTTCAGTTGTACATGTAGTCGAATCTTTGATTTGCTGAAGCATTCCTCAAAGCATTATGCAGTCTGTTTACAATCCTGCACTTGAGATTGTGCCAGAAGTCAAAATGTATCAGTCAAGAGCTACGTTTGATTAACAGATCGCTGAAACACTTGTTTCAAGCAGACACTTCTGTACAACTACAGCAGAAAATTTATCATCTATGACATGAAGAGGATTGTATCTCATTAGTAGGAATTTATTTCAGCACATTTCATCTATGTCAGTCGTTAGGACATTCAACAAAAACATCTACGATTACATACATGAGACAAAGAAACAAAACAAAAGGCAATTGAGCCAAAAAGAGAAAAGCAACTGCAATTACACGAGAAAATCGTGACTGTACAAGCACACTATTCCATTGCATCAGAACTTCACAAGCATGCTGTGATTACAGTGTGCATCAAGCACCAACATTGCATTGGAGTAACTTGTTAGAAGATGACCGATCAGCTCTATTGCAAGGCCCAAGAGGGCAAGTATACACCATGTACATATGCAAAGAAGCCCTCCAAGTAGAGGGAAAACATATACATCTGAGAAGAAGTCAGCTCCTATACATCTAACACCCCCCCTCAAACTCATGGTGGATCTACAACACTGAGTTTGGAGAGTAGGAATCTATGATGAGCCCGAGTCTGTGCCTTGGTGAAGAAGTCAGCTAGCTGAACCTCTGAAGGCACATGGTGGAGCGTCACAATCAGATCATGCACCTGCGATCTCATGTAGGAAGCATCAACGCCAATGTGTTTGGTGAGCTCATGCTTGATCTGGGTCTCGAGCAATCTTGATCGCACCCGTCTTTGTCGAGAAGAGAGAGGTGGGTGCGATGGCAGGTGCACACCAAAATCCTCAAGAAGCCATCGTAGCCATGTCACCTCCATGATCCACATCGCCATAGCACGCAGCTCGGCCTCGGCAAAGACTTGAGCGAGAAATGATCTGCTTCTTGGTTTTCCAGCAATCAAGGAGGAGCCAAGGAAAACACAATAAGGCGGAGAGAGAGAGTAGCGATCATAGTGATCACTCGCCTGTGTCGCATCGAATCGCGCTGAAGTGAAGGAACTAGAACGAGGGAAGAAAAGGCGCCGAGAGATAGTTCCACGAAGGTATCGCAGAAACACGAAGGAGGTGAGCATAGTGGAGGTGGGTAGGAGCCGAGACAAACTGACTCAAGATATGCACAGTGAGAAATGTCGGGACGAGTGATCCCAAGGTAGACAAGACTCCCAACAAGTCGACGATAGCGAGTAGGATCGCAAGTGGTACACCATCGGTGGGTCGTGGGTGAACACCAATCTCCATAGGAGTATCAACAGTCACGGTGATCGGTGAGAGAGCAAAGACGGAAAGGAGGTCCCGAGTATATTTCTCCGAGAGAAAGATACCATCGGATGTGGAGGTGACCTCAAGACCAAGGAAGTAACGAAGGGACCCAAATCGGACATAAGGAATGTCTCACCGAGACGCTGCTTCACAAAATCAATGTCTTCGGGAATCATCGCCGTGATGATCATGTCATCGACATAGAGAAGAAGAAGGGTGCGACCACGAGGGAAGTGTGAACAAAAGAGCGGGATCATGATCACTTGGTGTAAAACCGGCGATCGATGACAACAGAGGAGAAACGCTCAAACCAGGCGAGGAGCTTGCTTGAGGTCAGAGAAGAACGGCGCAACCGACAAACCGGGCCATCGAGGAGCAGTAGTATCCTGGAGGTGGTCGCATATAGACTTCCTCTCGCATGCCGCCATTGAGGAAGGCGTTCTTGACATCAAACCGGGATATCGACCACTGACGAACAGAAGCAACTGCAAGAAGAGTACGAACAGTAGTCATGTGCGCGACAGGAGCGAAGGTCTCCTCATAGTCACGACCTTGCTCCTGTTGGAAGCCGCGTGCCACAAGACGAGCCTTGTAGCGCTCAAGAGAGCCATCCGAGCGGGTCTTTACCTTATACACCCACTTGCAAGTGATAGGAGTGACGTGAGGTGGCAAAGGAACAAGATCCCAGGTGCCAGTACGTTCTAGGGCAGCAATCTCCTCAGCCATAGCATGTTGCCACTCCTGATGAACGGCAGCTTCCCGATAGGTCGCGGGCTCAGCCAAGACGGCAGCAGTGAAGCCAAGGCGATCGGGAGGATGAAGGGTGCTGCGGTCACGAAGAGAATAGCGAGGAGGAGACTTAGGATGAGGTCCAAGGACGGACGGAGAAGAGTCAAGTGGTGGCGCAGGGCGCGGACGACGAGTGTAGTAGTGAGTGATCTCACGGGAAGGACGCAACGATGATGGTGGAGGAGGGACTGGTGGTGGAGAGGTAGGAGGTGGTGAAGATGGAGAAGTAGGTGGTGATGGTGGAGGCGGAGTAAAAGATGCCTGAGGTGGTGAAGAGGATGGAGACGACAGCGGAAGATACCACTCAGGTAAAGTGAGGAATGAGAGGGACTCAGCGGTACTAGAAGAACCGGAAGGGGAACGAGGATAGTAAGGCCGGGACTCATCGAAGGTGACATCCCGAGAAATCCTCATCCGACGAGCAACAGGGTCATAGCAGCGATAACCCTTATGTTCCGTACTGTACCCAAGGAAAACACACTCAACAGACTGACGGTGAGTTTGGTGCGCTCACGAGGTGGAAGTAGGGCGTAATGACACACCCAAAACAACGAAGATGGCTATAGGAAGGAGGGTGCGAAAAAGACGCTCATAGGGAGTGCAACCCGAAGAGAAGTAGAGGTTGGCGATTTATAAGAAAAAAAATTTGTAAAACCGCCTCGGCCCAAAAATGAGGAGCAAGCATAGAAGAGATCAAGAGAGCACGAAGCGGTCTCAAGAGTGTGGCGATGCTTGCGCCAAAGAACACCATTTTGAGCATGAGCACCGGGACATGAAAATTGGGCAAGAGTACCACCTTTCAAAGAAGGTAGGAACGATGAGCGGTGGAGATGTACTCACCAAAGAGAATCCGCACGAAAAACTTCGAATGAGAGAGTTGAACTGGAGTACGGATCATGGTGGCAAATTGTTGGTAAATAGAAAGAAATTGACCACGAGAAGACATCAAATAAATCCGGTAAATCTCGAATAGTCATCAATGAAAATAACATAATATGATTGACCTCCTTTTGAAACAAAAGGTGCAGGACCCCATACATCGAGTGAACAAGATCAAAAGGTTTACGGGACTTAGACTCACTAGAAGGGTAGGGGAGTTGCAAGCTGTTTGCCAAGTTTACAACCCATACAATGAAGAGTAGTGTCACCGAAATGAGAACCTAACACACCACTACCAACAAGAGTGGACAATCTAGAACCGGAGAGGTGGCCAAGACGCCGATGCCACTACATAAAAGATGTGGTAGACGCGAAGCGGTGACACGGATCTTTGGAGAACTGGGGGATGTGGGAGCCAAAACGGGTGAAGGAAGACGCAACCAATCAAGCTCCCAGAGGCGTTGAGAGTCCCGACACCTAGGCCCAGTTCCCACCAAAAGGCCCGTACGGAGATCCCGAACACAACAAGAATCGAGACTCAAGGATTATCGGCGGCCATGATCGATGATTTGACCCTTGAGACAAGAGTTGCATAGTGAGCTTGGGAACATGCGAAACAAAGAGGAACATTAAACGAAGAGGTCGAAAGAACACCTCTCCCAACAGAAGAGAAGTGCCATCTGCAAGTGAAGAATGAAATAGGTGGATCGGGGAAGATAGAGAGGACAAGTGTGTGGCATGAGGTGTCATATGAAAAGAGGCACCAGAGTCGAGGAACCATGGGGATGATATACACGACGGAGGAGGAGCGGAACTAGAAGCTGAGTGTGTCCCGTGACCGGAGGCTGAGCTGCAGAGTGAGGCGTGACGAAGCAGGGCAGAACCTCCTGCTCCGCTGCAGACACCGCAGGCACGAGTGCTCTGTGAAGTAGAGGAACCACGAGCCACGAAAAGCGCCCGCCACGACGCCTGATCGGTCATGGCTGCTTCTTGCGACAATCCTTCTCCTCATGGCCATAGAGCTTGCGGTAGCCACACCAACACCGAAGGTGCCCCGGACACCACAGGAGAGGGGTGAGACGGAGACACAGGGAGGTGTGGGCTGCTGGGACGGAGGGCTGCGGCGGAGCACAAGTCACACCCCCAGCTCGAAGACGTGTCTCCTCATTTCAGTAACTCGAGGCATCGCCTCACTGAGCGATGGGCGCGGACGACGAGTCAACAAGCGTGCTCGAACGGTCTCGAACTCGGGACGGCCGAGAGAGAAACTTCGTGAAAGCGAAGAATGTCTCTCTGGTCCCGATATGGTCACAAAGACCGACAAGTACCACCACCGCATGAACTCAGCGCCCAAAGCTGTCCCAGCGATGCCGCATACCGCTATCATCGGCGGTGGAAGGCCTCAAATCAGGAGTCAAGGCGGCGTGAAGCGGCCGAGCCTCCTCAACAACAAACAAGGTACATCGCTTACTGAATCTCAGAATCTATGACGGAGGTGATCCCACATAAGGTGTGAAGTGGCAAGACCTCTAAGGGATAACGAGAGATCGACCTCCATGCTCGCAAAGTAAGATAGCCTTAGCAGATTTTTTCTCTCATGTGACCAAGTCTCATAGACACCGAGATCGGGATGGTAGCTCTCCATCTCAGGTCTCAAATGCCTCAAGTAAAGCATTCTTGGCATCATCATCAGCATCTGGCGGGTATGTGGGCGGCGTGGGAAGAAGAGGACGGGGAGGACAGATCCGCTCACCCGTGAGGTAGCCCCACAGAAGCTGCCCATCCATGTGGACCTCCATATGGAAAACAAAATCGCCCCAATTTGTGCCATTGAAAATGACGGGCACCGAGGGGACGGAATAAGCGCCAGGCGTCCCGTCCGGGGGCGCCATGGAGGAGAAACGAGCCTTTCTTCTTTTTCTTCTCCTCTTTTTTTTTTTTTTTTTTTTAGAAGAATGAGAGGAGAGGAGGGCCGGCCGACTCACCGGGACCGACTCACAGGCGACCTGAGACACTGCAGGCGCAGTGAGCGACTCGACTGAGGCGGAGACGAAAAGAGCCGCGAGGCCGCAAGGCGCGCCGGGAGAGAGTCGTCCGACGCGCAGGGGCCGCTTCGGGAGGCAGCGGGAGTGGTCGGCGGGCGCGCGCATCGTCTTCTTCTTCGTCGGCCGGGCGCGGACGCGACAGCTCCAGCGCGCCCGATGGGGGCAGCTCGAGCGCTGCTGCTGAGAAACCAGCGGCGCAACCGAGGGCCTTCTTACGCGCAGCGCTTAGCGGGCGGCAGCGGCAGCAGGCAGAGGCTCGGCGCCTCCCTCCCGTCAAGCGGGCCGGCGCTTAGGGCGCGCGCGAGCGCATGGCTGTGTGGTTCATGACGCTTGCACGGATCGGTGGGATTGGTACGAGGTAAGAAAAACCTAGCTCTTTGATACCATGTTAGAAGATGACCGATCAGCTCTATTGCAAGGCCCAAGAGGGCAAGTATACACCATGTACATATGCAAAGAAGCCCTCCAAGTAGAGGGAAAACATATACATCTGAGAAGAAGTCAGCTCCTATACATCTAACATAACTATCGTGCATGCCCTTCAGAGTTCAGTGGCTTCTCTTCAGCGCTGCAAGAAAACCTGACTTTGTTTTGTGGCGACCCTCAGGGTCAGTTCTCACCTGTTTCAAAGTTAAGACATCACAATGCTCAGTTCTGGAGAGTAATATTATGCAGCAAAAACATTGACGACTTGGTTTTCGCGTTGTAGAATAAAATCATGATAATTTTGTTTAGACGTGTGATTGATAAACTAGAAGTGAGAACCGGAAATGCAGGACTGACCTCTTTGGAGAGTTTCTGAAGGATTTCCAGTATCTCGGAGAAGTCAGGCCTTTCAGCTGGATCTCGATGCCAACATTTCTGAAGCAGCTCGATAAGCTTGGGATGGGTGTCTTTTGGGATCATTGGCCTAATACCCTGCAGAGGAACGTGTGTGGATGAATCGAGTTGTTCATAATGGGTCTGAGCGTCCATGTACAATTCTTCTGACCCCCTAGGGCGCCGCTAAGGAGTGTTGTATTAAATTTTTTCTCTATCTTAATACAAAGACGGGCAAACCTTTTGCGTGATCGAGAAAAAATGTGAGTCTCAAAATGAGAAGATAATATGGCCTTACCCAAAAAAATTACTAGAAACTGTAAAAATCTCTACAAAAAGCTCTGAAACAAAATATTTCAATATTTCTTTTAACAAAAAAGAAAAGAAAGGAGGAACTAGCTTGTCACGGCTACCTGTTTCACTTGAAATCAACAATTAAGAGTATGTTTTGTACACAGTTTTTTTATGTGGCAGTAATGCAATTCCCGTTGCTTTAAATATGTGCTTTAGTGATAAAGTTTTCTACTTTTCTTATTTCCATCAGAACTTGTAGCATACAGAATGAACCTGTTCCTCTAATCTCATATATATATATATATAATCTTTTAATAAACAAATGCATAGCCAAGGATGATGGTCCAGTATTTAAATGGCTCTTCCTGAAAGAGCAACGCCTGGCATCACTTCTAAAAGACAGTTTCCTAACAGAATTGCACTGCTCCCTGTTCCCAAGTGTCTGCACATGCAGTTACCTAAAATAAGAACTGAATAAAATACTACAGCATCACCTAGATGTATGTATCTATCGAATATACTCCATTAGGTCATATCCTTAGGGCTGCTAATAACGTAACTACGGAAGCCAAATGCACTTACCTTCTGAACAACACCTATTGCTGCTTGCAGTGGTGTTAAGTACTCGTAAGGGATCTGAGGAATCAAAAAGTTTGAAAATGAATAGACTCTTATGAGTAATTTATATACAAACTAAAAATAGAAAACAGAAACTGTGCATAATCATGTAGAAGAATGCAACTGCAGTTACCTTGCCGGTTAGCAGTTCCCACAGAACAATAGCAAAGCTAAAAACATCTGCTTTGTGATCGTAGGGCTTATGTTCTATGACCTGAAATTTCAATAATAGCATCATTATCATTATTTAAGAAACGGACAAATATGCATTGTTTTTTTCTTCTGAAATACATATTCATGACAGTGCACCTCAGGTGCCATCCAACGGTAAGTTCCAGTTTCTGCAGTCATCACTCCAGATTGGTCTTTCACACGTGCAACACCAAAGTCTGCAACCTTTACAACCTGCAAAATATGACCTATTACTTTTTGAGATCTATCAATCATCAGTCACAACAAAGATAGCTTTGCACATTCTAAATCAAACAAACAATATGATTCTGTTGTGAGTTGGTGAGTTAGTCATCTAGACTGTCATGCTCAAGTTTTTCGCTGGTTTCCCTTTAATTAACTGTGTAGTTGCATGGTTTGGTGCCCAGTTTCACTCGTAAGCTGGGTTAAGTCTTTCCTCTAGTGAAGTCCAGGAACTCCATGCCCTTTTACGAAGTTTTTCTTAAAAAAACATGATTTAGGGCTTTGGAAAAAAAAACTGACCCTGTTTTCATCCATGAGAAGGTTTGCAGTCTTGAGATCACGGTGAATTATGTTGTTTTGGTGCAGGTAGTTCATTCCTTTAGAGATGTCGGTTGCCACTTTCAGTATTTCAGGAAGCTTGAAAGTATTATTATTTTTGTGGAGGTAATCGTAGACACTCCCTCCTGACATGAAATCTGAGACAAGGAAATGCAAAAATGGGGTAAGGGGATCAAACACCATAGAAATTTTTTGGCATGCCTACTGCAGAGATGAATCTCATTATTATAGTATACCTGTTACTATATACAACGTTGGTTGTCTTGTACAGGCACCAATAAATTGCACGACATTCCTGTGACGGACCTTTCTGCAAGCATGTATAAATCTTGCATGATTAACAATGTTGAGAGGCATTTATGAACTATTATTAAAACCTACACTAGGGATTTGACATCTTCAACATTACTGAAATTAATTGTAGCTGCGAGATGCAACTGTCTTTGGAAAGAAGATCATGTCAGTAAAAAATTTCAAACGAACCTCATGATGTACACTTCTTGTGCAAAATCTCGGTACATATCTGCACTGATGCGCTCAGGTCTCACTATTTTGATGGCCACGTCCTGATTGCAGTATGTTCCACGGTACCTAAGCAAGCCCAAGTATCAAATGAAGCTCTGAATAGGTTCCCATTTCCACGTTATTGAGTAAGGAAAACTTAAACTTACAGGTCGCCATTTGATCCGGAAGCAACTTTGCTTCCAAACTTGAGCAGTTTACGGTCAATTTCCCAAACATCTGCACCATCTGTTGGAATTTCAACACTTGTAGATGGTATACCTTGTCCACCTTGAGGGCCTTCTGATGATGGTGATGATGAGCTTGATACAGGCCAAGCTCGTGTCTGTAGAAAGCTAACTTACCACAGTTAAACAATTGCTCATAATTTCAGAACAAATGACTATAGAAGCACTGTGTCCATATATGAAACGTTCAAAGTAACACTTTTCATGGTATCCATCAAGGTTTGCACTTTGCCAATCACAAGATCTTTTGTATTCATTTGTTTCAGATAGAATTGAAGTTTTTTATCTGCTTCAACAAACTAACTTCTCAAGAAATGCAGAGAGAACAATTTAAGTAATACCATGAGAGCAAAAGTTAGGTTGCTTTTTATGGAGTTAACAGCTTCACAAAAGAAAGGGAAGAAGGAAGCTTATACCTCAGCATTGTGAAATTTCTGAAGCAACTTTCCTTGTAGCTGCTCAGTACTCTAGAAGTTGCAGCAAAATAAAAATATTAATATAGTAGCACAAATTATTACACTTTGCTGAACTAAAAGAAGCCTTAATTGCAAATAACCAATTTCATCGATATAATGGAAGCAGAGAGAAACATGTACCTCAAGATGCCATCCAGTGACAACAAATACATCCAATGAGTAGCCATCAATTGTTGAAAATGCATGTGCTTCTTGGATGTCAAGACCGAACTCAGCAAGCAAACAGGTCAGCTGTAAAAATGTATAGATATAGATGATAGAGTGTCAGGTGGCAAGTAGTTGCCAGTTCAGAACAGAAGTTTACTCTGGAAATGGCCTTAATGTTTTTTGTTAGTTTCTTCCTACTATTACCAAGTTCCTTGTTAAAACTATTTTTTCATTCATTATATGTATATTACATGCTGGCTTCTTATAATTTACTGAATTTAGCTAGCTCTATCAACAGTATGCCAGGGCTAATTCTGTGAGTAGCCGTGTCAGAGAATTTTGACACTCCAAGGAAAAAGAAGTGTGACTACCTGACTAAGGAGCTTTGGCTTATCAATAGTTGCAAAAGTTATCTCATGCATCGGCCTGCAAGATTCAGAACAGAGAGAACAATGAGTTAACAGAGAATATAACTGCTCAAATTGTTTGCATATCAACAGGCTCTATATGTCCCTAAATATTGTCAGCTTAAGTTTTATGTACTCAGTAAAAGTGAAGGCCTTTCGTTTCAAAAAAAAAAAGTGAAGGCCTCCACGTATGATAATCTACCAGTTTCATGCAATGTCATCAAACCAGAATGAGACAAAAAGCTAAAATATGCTAGCTAAGGCAAGTACTCAGTAAAAGTGAAGCCTTTCGCTTCCAAAAAAAAAAGTGAAGGCCTCCACGTATGATAATCTACCAGTTTCATGCAATGTCATCAAACCAGAATGAGACAAAAAGCTTAAAGATGCTAGCTAAGGCAAGTATCGGCCTTTTTGGAGATGCTTCCACCCCTAACTAGGATCCATATATATATCAAACTTAAGAAAGTGTGGATTTTCTTGTATTCAAGGAAAATAGTACATATCCACATATTAAGATCAGTGTTTTTAAAGAAAAGGCACGTCAAGACATATATGGAGCCGATTCGCAGCAAAGCATTAGAGAT